TGATTATGATTCTTCAGAATCACTTGTCGCGAAAAAACATCATTATTATATGATAAAGCAAGTGAATGAATATAGTGTGTATTTTATTTAAAGATTTAGCAATTAACTAATTTATCTTCTTAAAAACCAATAATTTTAAGCACTCTAAAAGAATGAAAATACAAGTTACAAACATTAAAAATAACCTTTTTGAGCCAATGATTTCTCACAGATATGTACATTTTATTTTCTGAAACATCTATTTCAGGACTTGAATTTAGACAATTGGATGCACTTGATATATAGTAGTTAACATTAGTGTAAATATATAAGTAGTTTAATGGTTTTATTTAATTGCTCTTTAAGTTACGTACAAAGTGAAAAATAGTAATGATATTGTGGAGGATGGTACTTAAGTAAACTTTATATGATTCCGGACACGTAGTTGTGATAGTTGCATATAAGTAAATATACAATATGTATATATATATGTATATATACCAATACAACTTTACAAAGTACAATTTGGATGTTAACATTCTTAAAGTTCCAAAGCTAATTTGTGGTAAAAATAAAGAGATTTTATATTATTCTTTACAATTTTCGCTAATATTTTTAATGCTTCCTTTTTTTTTAATGTCATGTCTTTGTTAGTTTCAGTCGCCCCTCAATGTTCTACTTTTCATTGAATATAATCTGCTTATATACGGCAAGTGAAGTTTGGGAACCTTTAAATGGCATATTTCATTTACCAATAAAGAATGAAGCGCCCACTGTTTAAACGCATTGGAACTAAACTATTGACCGATAAAAACGATTTTTACCAACAGTGCCTTTCGAAATACAAGCTTTTGAATAATATACTTTTTATTTTCTTTCCCTTATGTAGAGCAATAATTTATGCTCGTTTTTTTACTGCTTAATTTCAAAATACGTTTTCTTATTTTTCTCAGTTTTAGTCATGTTGAAACTTGGCCGATGCTAACTTTCTGTTGTCATTCATGTTCAAAATCAACTACCCATCACAGTAATGTCTAGATATATATTTGGGAGCAAGTTTACATATAAAGATTTTTCATAAAGAAGAACTGACATCTTAACGCAGTTAATGTACTGCAGAACACTCATTAGTGTTTTTGTAGTCCAGGCGTTCTTTAGAAACGATCAGAATAACGACGAAAGTCGTTTAAAAACCAAGATTACATGTGGATAATATTTTGTTCTCTTTCAAACAAAATATCATTACCGTAAGTATCCGAACAAGGACATTATGGATAGAAAAATCTAAATGATAATAAAAAAGAGCCTAACCATGTAAACTTGTGTTAGAAAAATTTGTTTATAGTTAAGCACAAAGCTACACAATGGGCTGTCAGTGCTTTGCCCGGTTTCTAGCGTTGTAAGTCCGCAGACATGCCGCTGTGCCCCTGGAGGGCGTTAGAAAAATGAAACATTAAATTAATAGCTACCAATTAATAGCAAGTAATTTTATAAAGTAAGGTAAAACTTAGTTCCATACGATTCTATTTTAAATTATCCCCTTTCTTGAACAATTAAAACAAAACATGTTGTATATAGAGCTTTGCCAAATCATTTCAATTTTGTTGTAGTTGATAGTTTAAAAAAGTATTTAAAAACTGCAATATTTTCAGTCACTTTATTATTTTTTTGTATTCCTGTAAACTCCCAGTGAAACACCTCGCCAAGTTACTTGTAGAAGGTTGGTTTTTAGGGGGTGGAGTTGCTAGCCCAACCCTTCTCCTTTCTCATTCTGGACTTGGGACCAGGTAAATGGGGAGGTTGGCATGTTTG